TATAATAATTTTCTAATTTCATAAAAAATATATAAGAAGATATAGAAATAAAACGATCCCGGCACAATCGCGAAAAAAGTTGAGCCTTCTTTTTGATTAAATATAAAAATTAAGATAATAGTGAAATTGTTACTTTGTGTATTGCTGATTATCTCGAATAATCCTAATGGTGCAGCAGCTTATCACTTTCATTCGCTAATCACCATAACACGCGGACGTCTTTTGATAAGGTCGCGAAAGCAAGCAGAAAACGATTGTGTTCTCCGAGAAAGGATAGAACTCGGGAATAGAGTGGAAATTCGTGATATGTTACTATGTCTACGTACCGTGCACGGGACAGAGGTGGAGCGGCGTCTGTGCCTCGACGACGTCGCGACGTCAATTATATGCTCTCGTTTGGACGCCCCCGCATTTTCGTGGGATGGTGCTTGCTCGACAGGCACGAAAAAGGCATCGCCTCGCGAGGCGTCGCGACGCCCGCCGAACCAGGCAGCCGCAGCCCCTAAGCGGACCGAAGAATATGCTTCATTACTTTGAAAATACCGTGCGATACGTTCCAACGTTGCCTCGAGGATTTATCGATCGTTTCAATTAATTAATTCGAGCTAATTATTAATTTTTCCGACCACCTACATATGTCATTTTACAGATGTCAGTTAAATGCGTTACAGTTAACTGCCATTTGTGAGAGTCAATCTCACATCAAGTAGTAGCCGTATTGTTCATCTTCTTTTCTGTTTTTTTTTCTTTCTTACTTTCTTTTTCTCTATAAAATAATGTATGTAAAAATATTGATTTTAACTAATTTATTTTATAAAAAAGAAATCTTTCACAAGATATTCTTTGTCAAATTTATTAAATAAGATCTTATAGTATAGAGGAATTATTATTCAAAGTTTATGTTCCTCTATCTTAACTTTTTTTTACTTAAAACTAAAATAGATTCAATTATTGCAAAATTATAATTTTCTAAAATTAAAATAGATGCTTCGATTAGACATCAACGAGAAGGAACAGAAAAATCCAAGAAAACTTTGATAGAAGTGAAAATCACGTTCTTATAGATATTAAGTTAGTAGAAATATTCCTGGAGAAATTATGCGATACGACAGAAATAAATTTTTTCATCTTTTATCACGGACATTCTCTAAATATCAATAGAACGTTTAAAACATCTACGAAAGACTTCTAAAAACGATAACTAGTAAAAAAAACTATATGAAATAATAACTTTTGATAGTCGGAAGCAGATTCGTATGTTTCTTCATCTTTTTCAAGACCAGTGAGCATATCAACTGGAAACCTAATAAGTAAGTTGTGAAAATATTGGAAAATAATGATAATATGAATTGACAAAAATTTTGCAATAATTGCGCTAAAATGATTTGTCATAACGTAACAGTTTTGTCAGAATAAAAGACGATAAGTAAAAGAGGCCGATTTTTGCTTATAAATAAGTAAAATAGAAGTTATACATGTATTTTTTGAATCGCTGAATACGATGGTAACACTTTATCCATCCACTCATTGGGAAAGTAGTCAAAAATTTCGTTAAAGGGATCATTTTAATAGTAATTCGATTGACAATTTTTTTCCAATTATTTAGTTTCTTGTATTTTAATGTACTTTTATAACCTTTCTCATTGAAAACCAAAGAAACATTTGAAAATAGAACATTTTAGAAATTTTAAATCTCACAGGCGAAATCAATATGATAAAATTAAAAAAGATCATTTTGTGTTGAATGAATCTTAAGTCTCATCAGATGTACGTACGTGCGTATACATTGTGCAGTTTTGAGAATGTTAAAACAATGAACTTTCACACCACCACAGGAGCCCCATCTTAATAAAATAATCACAAACGCAAACGTTTCGATCCAATTTCGGGTTCTTATCAATGCTGATCGTAAACAAAATTACTAATAATTGAAGTTAGCCAGCTGAGCTTAGTGTATCAACGATGTCATTGCACTTCTTGGTACAATAATGTCGGAGTACTTTTAAGCTATTGATGTGCCATCATTCGATGAGACTCAAAGCTCGACACATCAATAAAATGATCGTTTACGATAAGGATCCGAGATTGGATCGAAATGTTTGCGATTACGAAGAAATCAAATTTCACACTAACATCCTGTGTTTGGCTCAAATTGGCATTATCTTATTGTATTGATTATCTTTTATATTATAATTTATAATTTATAGATAGTAGCATAAATTTATTTGTTATTATCAGAATCCAAAGAGCCTTCGACATAAAATACATTATTTAAATGTCCACCAGGAACTGGAGAGATCGATCATTTCATTTAAAGAAAATATATCAATTTATAATAGATCCTACTAATGTACTTCTATTAAAAATACAAATATTCGATCTCTTATCATTCAGAATTAATTAAGCATTTCGTTTATCTTGTATATATTAGTAGATACAAAATGTTTCTGATCTATCAGCATATAGCAACATACTGCTAATTGTAGAGTTTAATTATGTTGTAGACTGTTGCTCACATATGTAGCAACGATTTGTTGATTTTTTGTTCATATACTCGTTACTTAGATTTGATCTGTTCTTGGTGAACAATTAAGTAATGTATTATTCATATGTATCAAAGTCTCTTCAGATTCTGATAATGAATATATTTACGCTACATTATAAATTATAATACAAAAGATAACATAATAAAAGCTGCAGGTAAAGAATTATTATCTAATTAACACGCTTCTATAGGTGGTGGAAGTCCATTGTTTTAAATTCTCAAGACTGTACAGTTTACGTATTCACATCTGATACGATTAAGATTTTTAAACAAGAAATTATCCTTTTTATAATTATATCATATTGATTTTGCCATGTGAGATTTAGAGGACTTCTAAACTGTAAAACTATTACGCGCGGTAGCATCTTCAGTCAATATATTTTGGAAGTTTACTAAATCATAATAACATCTTTGTACTAACATGAAAGAGACACTGCCATGTCATGAAGAGACGCTATAGCGTATCCTTTACAGGAAAAAAGATGCTTATCTATAATATTAGTAATCATTGTTTTGTTTAAATAAATTGATATTATATGTCGGGAAAATAAAATATAGATTTTTACAATTAAAATAAGATAACAATCATGTAAGTACACTTTTTGCTTAGATATGCATAATGTATATAAACACACATTTTTCAATCCGAATTATATCATTCAGATGACATTCAATGTCATTACTATTTTGATTTAATTTCTTTTTTATACAATTATATTTGACATTATTATATAATTTAAAATTGAACATAATTTTACTTTTTAAATTCAGCTAAAATATTTTCCCAATTATTGGACAATTTCTTTCCAAATTTAATTTGGTAAATACGTCGCTCAGATAATTCGCCATATTATTATTGTTTTGTCAAAATTACTATATATCGAAATAATCAGTAAACAGTTATCAACACTTTAAAAAAGATCAACGTTTCTCAATATTTTTACAAATATACTCGCCGCGTAATACGTAATTATAAAAGCAAAACTGTAGAAACCTTAAAAATTATACATTAAAAATTGTACGGAAGATTTTGTCGTATAATTTTATAAATATTGTTTTAACGGGGAAGCCAAATACTATTAAATATTCATTACTAGAATAGTAAAAGGAAAAAGAGGTAGAAAAGAAAAAAGAAAGGGGAGAAAAAAGAAAAATAAATTATATATAGTGATAACTTTTTTGTTCTGGACAAATCTTGTATTAAAATTAAGCCAAAGTTACTTTTATTGCAACTGTAGTACGTATTATATATACGTAACGATAACAGTTATTTTAAAATAACACAAGCTACTATTTTGCCGCGATTGAAGACGAATTTGGTGCGAGAACGATGCGAAAACACGTTAGCATTAGAGTGTAAATTTATTTACTAATGCGATTATTCAATAACACTTGAGACCATTTTTGAAATGCATAAGTAAATTTCTCTTTTCTCACGTAATAATTCGTTCAACAAATAAGGAGAATGAAAAAGTTATAAAGATCTCACGTATACTCTTGGTAAAATAATTTAGAAGAGTTCATTAAATATATTTCTATTAATTTTATTCATGCATTTTCGATCAATTTACGAATAAGTACTCATATAAAAAGTTAAAAACTTACATTATTATACATATAGCAGTATATTTTACAGATAGAAAAAAACTTGAAAAAGTGAGAATGCTTCGAGTAAAATTTAGCGAGAAGTAGAACAGTATGTAACACCAAGACGCGAGCCGCAGAAATAAAGCGAAAGTTTACGTGAGGTAATGAAAAAGTTCATGTAATAGAAACAATAATGATATTATATGATGTAATGTGTATTTCAGTTAACTTTGACATCGTATAACAATATACAATAACATAAATATAAATGTATATTTACAAAATAAATTAAAATATAGAAGTACATCGGTAGATACTTAATGCTTCGATTAGACTATATAGACGTAATCAATAAGTAGTACGTATTAAGAGAGGATCGATTTCTCGAACGGTGGTGAGAAACGCTCGCGTGACAGTGAAAAAAGCCCAGCTTTCCCAAAGTAGTCTCAAAGCTCGTTGTCAAGCATAATCTTGAGGTTCCTGCGTGTTTTTATATGTCTGCCCAGAAGTTTCTTTTGTGGATTGAAAAATGTACTTGGTAACATCCATCTACATTTACATATGCGAAGATCCTTTTCAATGCTCGACAACGTCCAAGGCTACCAAGAAAAGCCCTGATACGAGAACAAATCTCGCCGACCACGTCCTCGGCCATGATGATGACATTGAGTGAGCAAAGATGGTGTCGAGCGCAGTTTTTTTTTACAAAAGATTGCGGCGATGAGGATGATTAGCCAGGCCGCTGTTATTTGCGTAAAGATGAACGAAGCCGTGACAAATGATTCAATGAGATCTGATGAGAACCGAGAGTCGATGATAATGCTGATATTTTCTCATAGCAGCTTGATTGCTCGGACCAGAATTGCATACTATTCGTGTGTTCTCCCCGAGATATAAACATGTTTTTTCGAAAATTATGCTGTATTGCATCAATCGTGTAATAATGTTTTTAGAAGCATTTGCGATGGACAATGCCAGGGCCAGATTCATCATATTCTTGTTTAGAAATCCACATCTGTTGGAAGGTAGATAGAGAAGCCAAAATAGAACCACCGATCCATACGGAGTACTTCCTCTCGGGAGGAGCGATGATCTTGATCTTGATGGTCGAGGGCGCGAGAGCGGTGATTTCCTTCTGCATACGATCGGCGATACCGGGATACATGGTGGTACCACCGGAGAGAACGTTATTGGCGTAGAGATCCTTACGGATATCGACGTCGCACTTCATGATGGAATTGTAGACGGTCTCGTGAATACCGCAAGATTCCATACCCAGGAAGGATGGCTGGAAGAGAGCCTCTGGTGTGCGGAACCTCTCGTTACCAATGGTGATGACCTGACCATCGGGCAATTCGTAGCTCTTCTCGAGGGAGGTACTGGCGGCAGCGGTGGCCATTTCTTGTTCGAAATCCAGAGCGACATAACAGAGTTTTTCCTTGATATCGCGAACGATTTCTCGCTCAGCCGTGGTGGTGAAGCTGTAGCCTCTCTCGGTGAGGATCTTCATGAGGTAATCGGTAAGGTCGCGACCAGCCAAGTCCAGACGGAGGATGGCATGAGGGAGGGCGTAACCTTCGTAGATGGGTACAGTGTGGGAAACACCATCGCCGGAGTCCAGGACAATGCCGGTGGTACGACCGGAAGCGTACAGGGAAAGAACGGCCTGAATGGCGACGTACATGGCTGGACTGTTGAAGGTTTCGAACATAATCTGCGTCATCTTCTCTCGGTTAGCTTTTGGGTTGAGGGGTGCTTCAGTGAGGAGGACAGGGTGTTCTTCCGGAGCGACACGCAATTCGTTGTAGAAGGTGTGATGCCAGATCTTCTCCATGTCATCCCAGTTGGTGATGATACCGTGCTCGATCGGGTATTTCAATGTCAGAATACCTCTTTTGCTCTGGGCTTCATCACCCACGTAGCTGTCTTTCTGACCCATACCGACCATCACGCCCTGATGGCGGGGTCGACCGACTATCGAGGGGAAGACGGCGCGGGGAGCGTCGTCTCCGGCGAAGCCGGCTTTGCACATGCCGGAGCCATTGTCTACGACCAAGGCTGCTACTTCGTCATCACACATTTTGCTGCTGCTTTAATTTCTCTGTAAAAAAATTTATTAGATTTATTTAGAATCGACTATACTGATTTGCAAATTAATTTTTTTCTAATTTTTCCGAATATAATTGAAATAATAAAATATTTTAATTTAGTTCCATTTAATTTGATTTAATTATTTCTGCATTTTCATGTAATTATATTTATTTTCGTTCAAAGACGTCTTCAGAAATTATAAGCAAACGTCTAATTATATCTTGTTAAAACTAGCTAATTCAATATTTAATTTGACTATTTGAACTGTTTTAGTTTTCAAAGATATAAAATTTTCCTAAAAAATAATATTTTCGATAAAATAATAATCTTTAATTTTTAAAATAAGAATGTAATTAATACTCTGCTTTAAATTTTAATATCTTCTAAAGATACTCTAAATTATATTTATTTTAAAATTAAAATATCGATTAAAGTAATGCTTATCTTTTTATTATAATTAAAGATCCAAGTTCTAATTATTTTATGAAAAAAAATGTATTAATACTATAATGTTTAAATAATTGACTATTACATTTTCTCTATAGTATAACATACAAAATCTTTCAAGAATTTTCCTATCCTATACACAATGACACAACGTTGTTATAATTACTGCTTTAGTTCACTTTAGAATCAATTCAATTTCTTTCTCCGAACTTCAATTGCATTACAGAATTAGTCTTTAGATCAAATCCTTTGACTTATACACTGACACGTTTTTGTTTTATTCCATTCAAAATCTCTTCTCGACACTTTCAACTTTTGTAGCCGCGCGTAAATTTTGAAGGGGTCGAGCAAGCACGGAAAGGAACGTTTCGCGGGTATGTTACTAACCGTGAGGGTGAGTTGTGAATCGACGGACGGCTGAGGAGTGGCTGAGGCTCGAGGGCGTCGCGACGCCAGATATAACGTCTGTGGCGCGATACGCGATGCTACCGAAGATGGGCACGCGAGACGCCTCGAGGGCTAGCCAGCGATGCTGCCCACGCTAACACCGATAGGCACGCGAGTGGTGGTACACGGACCAGGAAGCCCGAGTGGTCACGATGCTCGGTTTGAGAGACGCCTTTGGGTGAAAACGGCGACGACGTTGTTTGCGCGCCGCGACGCATCTCTCTTCATCGTCATCGTCGTCGTCATTCTTCTTTCCTCTGCTCTTTCTTTTTTCTTCCTTTATCTATCTCTTATTCACATTCTCTTAGAAATCCCCGCAGCCAGTACATATCTCCTAATCTAGACGCGGGTTGTTGTAGTTAATCGTTCTTCATCCGCTGCAGCTCATAAAGAGTGTCTATTTTTAATCTCGAAATAAATGTTTAATTGAATATCGTACGGAGTAAAAGGTGGTTTTCACAGAGAAATTCAGTGTTCGATTTTTTAAAAGAATTTAATACAGCAATGCAATATTTTTCCCATTGCAATTTCATCACTATATGTTATACACATATTTTAAATAAATCACAGTTTGTATGAAAAATATTAAAAACGTGAAATTAATATTATACATTAAAAATTACACAATTAAAGAAAAGTGTACAAAAAAAACATAATAGAAATATATATAAGTTCATTTTAAAAATAAGATGTAGTACATAGAATAAACTATTCTATGTACTACATAAATTTATAGGATTAAACTAAATAAATTTATAGGAATCTCATGAATCTAATTTTTAGCAATTTAATTTTTAAAAGAAAGTTTGGTATTAAATAATTAGAATGCACATATATTGTATATGTAATCTTCATCATCTTATTTTTTATTTCATTGTTTTCTTCCTCTTTGGTTTGAGTTCTCGTAGTCATTTCTCGTTGCCGAAGAAGCTTTTGGCATATGTTGGAAATCCCCGACGCCTCGCGGCGCTCCTGAAAATATCCACTCATGGCCAAATCAGGATATTAACGCGGGACGATGTACTATGTTGGAAGACAAAGTATTTTAATGCTCAAAAAAATCCGTTACAAAACAAACAGAATAATATTCATTGCTACTCGTTCGTGTTGCGAACTCCTTTGAATTTTGCCGTATTTTTTTCCTGTTATCGATAAAGCATTTTAAACAACACAGTCATCTCATCGTCTATGCGTGGCCGTGACTGTGCCCTCAGGTATTTGGACAAATTGCCAATTGGCAATTTAATTTATTCGTATTATAAAACATTGCATGCGCCTCTTAATATAATAATTTATTGTTAAGGCACGGAAAAGTAAAGCGTTAGAGGAGAGAAGCAGAACTAAGAATAAATCTCAACGAATCATTTAATCGTCATTCAGTATATTTATAATGCGCTCAATGGAGAACTCGTGAAACTCCTAAAACAAATTTCGATAGAACTATAAACCTCCTCTTACGGCTAGTTTTTGCGTTACAAGTCCTGGAAAGCTCAGATTCAAGTCATTCTTTCAAAATTAAGTATATTATTGATATTACATTATTATTGACAGACATAATGGGAATATGCGCGCGCCGCGTGTGCTTCCATATATACAAAAAATCTCATTTTAAAGGATGATTTTAAAATATCTCAAACAGTATACTTTAGAGAAAAACGTTTCAGATGAAAAATGGAATGGTTTTGAGGGTGATATACTTTGGTCACGTTGTTTTTTCGAAGTAAAAATAATGCTAAAAATATATAAATAGATAGATAGATAAATAAATAGATGGATAGATAGATTTATATCATTTTCTCATTAACTAATTATAATTTCTTGTAAAAAAATAGCACAGTAAAAAACATTATTTTGTATTTGTGCAGTTAAAATCAATTTGTTTTCTTGTTTTGTCAAATTTATATAAAAATCTCGTGAGAAGTGTAGGCTTCGGTTCACCGTGAACTACAATGCCGCAAAAGAAAGAAGTTTGAAACATGTACTGTAAAATGTATTAAATTTAACAATTTTTTAACTAAATAAGTTGTGTAACGAAAACTTGAATTCATTTCACTAATCAAAATTACGAGTAAGTTAGATCACTATCAGATGATATATGATTGCAGAAACTTGAGAAGATTGTGTGTGAACTGGAGAACATTTATAGCAACATAATAAAGATTTGCAATTATCTGTATTTTAAGTATGTTGAGCTAGTAAACATCATGGCGAGACACAATAACTTCATTAACTACATTGCACTTCGCATGAACGACTACGATATCGATGATTTCTCTGAACAACTCGGTAAGATCATCTACAACATTATTCACTGAAACAACATTAATAATAGAACGGCACAATTTGTACAGAGAGTCAATGGCAATAACTGAAACCACTGTATTTACAACTGCATGTTTATGTACGGCGCGAGCTCAGGAGGCACTCATCAATTACCTCTATATGAACAGTTTTGACAAAATTGCCTTTCTGTCGTTCGCTTACATGATAAACCGATGGCGCCGGGACGTATTTCAGAAAAAAATCACGAACAATTATAACTGCAATTGGTCTGTGTTCTAGATAACAAAAATACATCTCTTTGTATTACATTTTTTAAAACAATATTTCTTCTCGAATAAAAATACATTAAATTCGAATTCCGAAAAAAATAAACTAAAAATATATTTTAAGCAAGTTAAAAAATTGTTTATTTTCAGGTGGAAACTCGTTGAGAAAAACCAGGGCATCGAACCTCCCGTAGATAGATCGGAAGAAGACTTTAATCTTAACTGCAGGGATGATGGAGTGTACACAAAATATTTTATAAGTTTCGTGGTACAGTTTAAATTCCACAAAGCATTGTATCGAGGCGAAACAATACGATCCGAGAAATTCAGATACCAAGCTGTCAATGTGATATTTACGGAAGTAAGGATGTCGGAAATCGGTTAAAGTAAGTTCGATACATTGGATGGAAATCTAGTACAAAACGTACGCATCATAGATATATAAAATATTTCATAAAATTTTATTTTATATATTATGTATATACTTTATGTCAACAATTTTTATGGCAACTGAGACATATCATTCAAACTGCTTTCATTTTTCATTTAGAATGTGTGCAGACGAGAGGAGAGCTAGTGAATTAGAGCTATTGAGTCTTCGGAATAACATACTCTCCGCTAATAAGAAAAAATAAGAAATATATTTTGAAACAACACAAAGTGTTGCATTTTTATGATGCAATAAATCTAATGTACAAGAATCATTCCACGATATAAACGCTTAAATTAATTCGAGTAGTAAATAAATGTTTGTGATGAATTAATTTTGTTTCAAGTCTCAATAAAAATAAATAATGATACAAAAGAAGGGCTACAAGCCTAATAATATTATTAAGCTCGTAGCCCTTCTTTTGTATTATTTGTTTCAAGTTTTTATAAATAAAATGTGCATTCCTCTTTTATTTTTCTTTACCGCGTACTCTTCCTCGTTTCTTAGCTGGTTCGCCACGTTTTCTCGTCGATGAAGCAGCTTTGCTAGTACTAGCAACAGTAGCTTTTTTCGCCTGAAATATATTACGTGATATCTTTTTCATTTAAAAAAAAAAAAAAATTTGGTATATTTTATGATGAAACTGCGAAAATAATTTTTAATGTTACCTTGATCATCTTATCAAAATCAATATCGTCAATTTCTTCCTCCTCATCATCTTCTACTTCATCTATGACATCATTATCCTGTCTAGATCTTTTCTTTGCTACTGCAGTACTATTAATTGCGTACGGCAGCATAGGAGGATTCTTTTGATATGCGCGTGTAAACGCTGCTTTTACCTAACATGTTAATGACATTAATGTAATTAAAATCTTTACAATACAAAGTTATGACAATAAAAAGTCTTAATTGTTATTAATCAATATTTATTAATATTGCACATACTTTGCTATTAAGATTACTGGTAGAATCGCACATTCCTGGCCAAAGAGAAATTTCTATTGCTGAATCCAAGTCTTCTCTAAGGAAAAAATGAAATATCAGCATACATACTTTCGTGTCTTCCAGTGCATTCAATGTAAATAAAATACAAACCTAGTTAAATGATATTGTCCCATAATATTTATCGCTGCTTCTATACCATCTACACCATTATCTATCAAAGGTTTTATAATAGCGTTTCGAATATGAGGCAAATAATCCATATTCAGGGCATCCTTGTTTGCACCCGTAGATAATCGTGTATGCGACGTCAACTCTTGCAATAATCTGGAAATAATACACAGCGGACAAAGTGCTGCTAGTGAAGATGTTTGATACAATCACAAGAGCTCGCAAAATAATAACAAAAGTTCATATTTTATAATACCGATTAAACCTCGTTGCCTTCGAATTTCGTCCAAACCAACTCGGGAATCGTATCAACCCGTCAGAGCTTCCTGACATTTCATTAGCTGGTATAACGAATGAGAAACAAGCATGTAATGGAAGTAGACTCCACATCATGTTACTTCTCATTACCTTCTCGATGAGGTCCCCCTGAGATATACTATCAGCTGCGTTGGCAATTCTTTCCAGCCTCTGACGACTGCAAATGTAACAAATCTTAATTCCTGGACTTTAAAAGCAGCTTTATACAAGTAGTGATATACTCACGGTGACACTTGAGATCTAACTCCCTGATAATTTTCTTGTATAAAAAGAGGCGCTATATTGTAATCGTGGAAATATAAACTGATCTTATCATTCAAACTCATATTTTTTTGCTCTTCTGCATTAAATGCTATTTTTATAACATCGAATGGACCGAGTTTAAAGTTCTTATTCGAATGTTTTTTATCAGTTGTCTTTACGTGAGACATTTGGGTGCCGAGAAACTCCAGATGATTTATTACTTGTCGAATATCATAATTCGTCGATTCGATTAAACGATCGAGATCCTCCGTTGAGATTTTAATGTTCTCTTTAAAGCACAGAGACTTCATAGAACTCTGTAGAGAAAAATGATTTCAAAGTATATCAAATAAAAACAATGTGTGTGTATGTATATGTGCATTAGATCAGAGCGGCACAACGTGTGCCACCGGAGGCACAGAGCTTCCCCTATTCACGCGTTCATTGTTTCCTTCATTGCGCCGCCGGCGCTGTAATGCTGTTCCTTGTCGCGTTCGGCACTCTTCAACGATATTAAACTACATTAATATTATAACTAACAATAATGTTACAAATTTGTGTCAAAATAGAAATGAAATAATCTTAACAAAGAAAAAATAAACATATTACAAAAAAAAGGTCAATTAACAATTTAAAAAAAGCTATTTGGAAGATGTTCTGTCAGGCTTACATTCCAATTATAGTCATAATGAAAATTATAACTTAACGTAGCCTATGCAACAAACGCCAAAGCTGAGAGTTTCCGATAACTGCCAATCGTTGAAAAACGCCGAACATGACGGCGGAGAACAGCATTACAGCGTCGACGGAGCGGTGACGGAAAGGCAGCTTTAAAGCTCTTTGCCTCCAATGGCACGTATTGCCATAAAAAATGCCGCCCTGCATTAGATCATTAAAATAATGAAACAAAAAGGGTATAAGAATCAAGCGCGGAAGTAAAGTGTCGCAAAGATAAAGTGTCAAATATAGTGAATTTAATAAAATGAAGAGTGTATAGAGTCTTATGCTCTTTTTTTTATGTTGTTTGAATCAAATAAAAAAGGTTACTCAAGCTAGATTCTATAACTCATTGTGAAAACTAAACTATACCCTGATCTGTTCCACTCTGAGCTTCGGATATTTCAGGTCGTAGCTGTGTGTAGAAATAGTTTTCACTTTCGTATTAAATCGGTCATTACATATGCAGATAATTGGCACATCCGTGTGTTTTATTAAATTAACTAATTCCTGTAAACCACCACGATCTTCGTTACCAGCCATACCATCGACTTCATCCATCAACAGCACATGCTTGCTCGTAATTTTTTGTTTCGTACCTGTAACGTATAGTGTGAGACAAGAAAATAGTGTATTTATTTCAAGATGTCGTATCATATGCCCCTACCTGTGATATAATCTTTCATCGTGGTGTTGGATAATAACCCTGAGACTGCTTCTTTCAGAAGTGTTTTGTTTCTCGTGTCGGAAGCATTGAATTCTACAAGATCATATCCTAATTCTTTACAAACGACTTGCACAGTTGTTGTTTTACCAACACCCGGTGGGCCTGACAGCAAAGCAGCTTTAAAGCTTTGTCCGTGAATTTGCTTGCTATCTATTAAAATAGAAATGACATTATAATCGGATCAATTAGCCTTATTTTATCTTTACACAATTTGATAAAAGAACAATAATCAAAGCTAACATACTGCTGTCTTTGAATTTTTGACGATTTTGATGCCAATCACGTAGCCATATGTATAAGTTATGTGCACAGCTCCTATCTCCTTGCTGACCTATAATCTGCTTCATAGTTTTTGGTCTATATTTCTCAACTAATGGTTCTGATCCAATACTCGTTATTATCTAGAAGAATATAATAATAGCATGTGGAAGCATGTAATCATATTTTAAGTTATATTTTATTTTATGTTATTTTGCATCATATTGTGCATGTATGTCAAATTAATATCTAGATTTACTTTCTGTGTATTATTGCTTGCATCTGAAGTCTGTTTTGATACTGGTGACGTTTTCGTATTCACAATGATTTTCACTGGTGAAGATGGTGGTGTTTTAATATTTTCAAGTGAATCTAATGCTTTTGTTTTGTTCGGTGACAGTAATTTATCGCTCTCTTTACTAAATGTCTTTTTCACATTTGATCTTGCTTTTGTCGGCTTAATGTGCGCAGCTTTACCTTCCGGTTTCGTGCGAATCATTTCAAGGAGATTATCTTCAGATATCTGTTTGATACTTAAATTATTAGCCTGAAAATTTATTTCACATAAACAAGAAGTAAAAGAAATCTATGCAAAATATATGAGTATATTTCTAATCATGTAAAAAAAAACACACTTTTGTCAATTTGCTTGGACCAGCCTCATCTCCCACAATAATATAATTTACTTTGCTTGATATAGAATTTACGATCCGGCCACCATATTTTCGTACTAAATCCTCAACTTCATTTCTTTCTAAGGAATCCAATACACCAGTAATTACGAAACTTATTCCGACTAAACAATTTTCAGCACCCTGAAACAGAAACTTAATTTAATAAAAAATCTAAGAATATTAATTTTAAAAATCTTTTCAAATTTTATTGAAAAACAGTCTTTATTCTATTATATAAAATTATTCATTTTAATGTTATTGTCATATGTAAAGTTTCTTACTATAGGGATCTCTTTTGAACCAGGATTTCTAGCGCCGCCTCTCTGAAGATATTTTTCATACATTAAAGCACGCTGTTTCTTCATTTCTTTCCTATCTTCAAATAAATTCTCTTCCATTTTTTTGACTTTCTTTCTACTTGATAACTTTTCTATATCATTGTCTTTTTCTGTTGCAGAAATAGATATCGAATTATTCAAATTGTTGAAATTTAATTACCTACAAATCTTATTGTCACACTTATTACTTATACCTAAGTTTCCATTCAAGCTACCTTTTTCCTCTTGTTGTAAATTCTGTTTTGGAGAAGAATTTGTAACTTTTGAATATACATTATTTTTATAGGGAGATTTTTTTACCTCAGATTTTAGTTCATTCGTATTATTAGTTTTACTATTGCAATCTTTCAAACTATTATTATGTTTTCTGTTCTTATTAGAGTCCACTTCTGTAAATATTCTATTATGTCAAATTTGTATAACAATATCTATTTGAACATTAAATGAAATAAATTTAAACATACCTGTTTTAACTATAGCTTTTGATTTCTTAGGACTATCTACTTTTTTAATGCTGTTTTTATCCTTCTGTTTATCCTGTATCGAAGTATCTTGAACTACATCTAATTGTTTAAGCACAGCATCAAAATCTTCATCGTCATGAAACTGAGATTCCTATAAAATTCCAGAATAAATTTCAGGAAGTTTAGAATATTTTTTAATTTTTTCATTTGTGCTTGAATATATTTACCACTTTCTGTAATTTTTGAATCACTTTTGCCTCTTCTACTCTGGTTATAGGCTTCTTGCTAAATAATTCATTAAAAGGTACTGCTTTAGATGAATCCTTGCCTTTGTTTTTCTTACTTGCTATAGAAGGACTAGATTCTTTTTTATTATCTTTAAGGATGACTACCTCGTCCTCAGAGTCAGACAAAATAGAAGATTTCAATGTTTTTACAACCTGTGAAATTAATTATCCAAATTGGCATTATTTGAAAATAACTAAGAGAATTGTTATAATTAACCTTCTGTCAGCAACTGAGGTCTTTAAAGATATTATTGATATTTTAATCATAAATTTTGGTAAATTTAAATCTATAAAAATTAAGCAAAATATGGCTAGACATTTATGATAGTTAATACTTGTTAACGTTTTGATAAATGTATCAAAATTATTTTCAGTTTTTTAATATAATATTCATAGCAATAAAGATATTTATTGTTTCTAGGAAATCCCTGTTACTAATGGAAAAAATTAAAAGAGAATTATAATAACGACAAATAAAAAATGACAAATGACAATACGTTAGAGCGTTTTATGGACGACCGTGGTTTCTCTTCGTCCTCGTCTGACGAAAATACCGAAATGACCCGCCGTTTCCGAGGCTTTTGAGCAGCAGGCTCGCTGTTCTTCTTCGCCACCGGAGCGAAGTAGGATCTGATATCCTACGGAAATAACAGCGTTGTTCGTTTTGTTTCTTAGGAGTTGCTCAAAATTGCTCTGAACAACCCCAGATCTTGGGTGCGATCCATTTCACGCTGTGAATGCTTCGAAGTATTTTTGATTAATCAATTTGTAAAATTCTTCCTTCTGACCAACGATATATTTACAACATTAAATGGATCATATCCAAGTACGCTGGGTTCGTTTAGAGCGTCTTCGAGCAGGTCCCGAGAGACAAAACGAACAATAACACATGCGTAAGATTTTCAGTTTGACACTCAGAAAATTGAAATAAAAGTAATTATTAATTAAGCGAAACCGCTGTATTCACGTTACGCACTTTCGGCATTGTCGTAATATCTCGCCGATATTCGATTCATAAATGTCACGCCAAGGCAATCGGCTTAAGGGTTCCTGTCACATGGAATGAAAATTACACCGGAACGAAACAGTGAATTCAAGTTGACAAAGCGGCTACGCAGAATAAAAGGAACAGGGAACAGAGAATAAGAATTTCAACCTATCAGAAATCATGTACTATGGAATACACCCTGTTTATTCCACAGTATATGATTTCTGATAGGTTAAAATTCTTAAGCGGGGAGCACAGACTTTTGCATAACGCATAAACCATATACATAAAGAATTTGATTGGTCCATTGACTCATGCATAAGAAAATGGGCCAATGAAATTCCTTATGCACATGCTTTATGCGTTATGCAAAAATGTGTGTTGGGGCTCTTATTCACTGTTCCTTTTATTCTGCGCAGTCCTAAGCCTGCTCACCGAGCAAATGAACATAATTGGTTATTACTTATAGATCCAACCAATCATATTCGATTGCTCGGCAAGCGTACTAGCCGCTTTGCCATCTTGGAACTCGCCTCGCCTAATGTTTTTGCTTTGGTCACCGTCACATGTGATTGCTACCACGCTGTACTTAGCAATACAGCAGGATACTGATTTTGAATTTCTGGTAGGTTGGAAATACGCGTCAAATATAACACGAAAAAATATAAACAATATCTGTCACGTATCTATTTCATGTTGTATTTATCTTTGATTCGTTAAATTATCTTAGATTTTCTATTGTGGTTAACCTATAAATACATACTTAAATATTAAATTTGGTATATATGGACTTATATAGTTTCTACGCTTTATAAGTTAAGAATTATATTAATTAAGTATTAGGCTATTAGTACTAAATAAAATCTCTTTATTATGTAAAAACTATTATTTTATTTATTTATAAATAAATAAATTAATAATATAGATAATTGTATTCTACAAACAAAATTTGGAATATATAATTTAGAGCGATTATCACGTTATCTTTCGTTTGTGCTTAATAATGTCATAATTTTTCTCTTTCATATTTTGCAAACAAGTGCTTATAAATTTATAATTGAAGGCACTTCGTCATTATACATTTCACTTATTAAGACAGCCAAATATGCTTAAAAACTCATTATTAGGCTTAGTCTTTTTTTAGCTTTTTAAACAGTATCGAATTTGTGTGTTTGAAAAAGAACCAGTATGTTTCAATGAATAATTATGGTATAGATTATCCACAATAAGCTCCACCTCTACCAATAACAACCTTAGTATATATACCTTACCATCGTTAAAAATCGCCTGACGTGAATCTTGGTTGAAGAAGATAGATGTATAAAGAAAAATTACTGAATTAAAAATTAATTTGTTATTTACAGTTGTATTTAGGTCAGATCAAACATGGTGAAGGAACAGTTCAGGGAGACAAATGTCGCCAGCGAAATGTATGTATAAGACTTATTTGTGTTTTTACAAATTTAAAATGTTTTTCTTTAGTTCTCTCGGACAATTTTGTCGCTTCAATAATGAGAATAAAATTAAATCATTTCTTCATATTGAAGTTGTTTCGTAGAGACAAATTATTTCTACTAGTTACCTATTTCTAGCAACAATAGGCAATAAAATATTCCTCAATGTTCCTTTGATGGATATGTACTTTTAAACCTATAATGTATTTTTTGCTTTCTATTTCTCACTTTTTATATTTTGCCTTTTTTCCTTTTTACTATCGTTATATTGACAATCATCTTTATCGTCTCTTTCAAAGTTCAACTTTTATCTCGGACAACAGAAAATGAAAGAAGTAGAAAGAGGTAAAAGTGATAAAAGCAAGAAACAGAAAGCAAAGAGTTAAAGTAGAAATTAGGCTCACAATGTATATTCTTAACACAATAAATATAATACAATTTGTGAACAAACTTATCAAATAAAGTTAAATTAATTATAAATGTTCTGTTTCTGGATTTGAGTTCTCTTTAATGTAAAAATTAAGTTCCAATAAGCAAAATGTATTGACTTTTATTTAATTTTTGTCATCTAGCTCCTATATATCATTTGGAGTGGATAGTATGCACGACATAATGATGCAGGCCAATGTAGAAGTGTTCCAGAAAAGTCTGTACAATGAAGATACAAAGCATACTCCTGCTTTACAAGGAGCACTGGATAGGCGCATGGTATTTGAAGATTATTATTAGTAAATTTAATCTACTTTCACACACACACACACACACACACACACACACACACACACACACTACTAGATTATTAATACATATTAAATCTAGTATATATAGTATGTATAGAAAGTACTGGAATCCTTGAATATCTAAAAAAATATATAAGTTTTATAAAAAAAAGTTTCAGACAAAAGAGTTGCAAAGTTTAAAAAAATCTACTTATTTAATGATCTTATCAGTTTAGGTTTGGGTGGTATCGCCAAGGTCAAGTTCACACACAAGATCACATTATTTTTTTTAAATAGAATCCTTTATAATTTATATCATTGTATAACAAGGCTTCCGATGCTTTTTATACATCCTATGTGAAGTTAACAAAGTTAAATGTATCACATATAAGTATTTTAAGTACCCAATAATGCTACTGTTATTTAATAGAATATACATTATATATTATATTTTTTTAAAATTGATTATATTGCATCACTACATTTAAATACTTTACGTAAGTTGGCTTTTAATGTGCACTAATCCAATATAGTGCAAGTAATCGGATTCATTATGTATATTCCTTTTATTCTTACTTGAACAGAATGCTTAGAATTGATGCTTTTGTATACAGGGAGTGAGTTCTGCAGGGGACGTTTGCAAAACGTGTGGCAAAAGATTAAACGACTGCGTAGGACATTTTGGATATCTTGATTTAGAATTACCAGTCTTTCACGTTGGCTACTTCAAATCTATCATCCAGATTTTACAGACAATTTGCAAGGTAACACGTAACTATAGCAAGTTTCTGTAATTATGTGTCCTATATTGACGCATAATATTTTATAGACATATAATTTTTACAGAAATGTGCTCATGTTTTGCTAACGCTCAAAGAAAGGAAATCTTTTTTGCGCCAAGTACAAAATCCGAATTTGAGATATTTAATGCGCAAATCGTTGCGTAAGAAAATATTGATATCAGCGAAAAAGAAGACGCAATGTCCAAATTGTAATTCAAACAATGGCCCTGTGAAGAAGGCTGGTTTTCTCAAAATTGTTCACGAGAAATACAAGAACTTAAAGAAAACAAATTCTATTATTCAAGAAAAGTTGACTGAATTGGCCCCAAAGATGAAATGTGACATAGAATTTAAAAATATGGTAGAGCAAAACTACCGATGTGTATTTGATCAATATCTATATCCAAACGTGGTATGATTACAGAAAGAATATAAGTTTATAATATTTATAATATTTCAGAATATTAAAAGATATTCACATAATATTTAAAAAAAGAAATTATAATGTTGTAAACGTAATATACATATAACTGAGTATCTTTTTTACAATTTATGTAATTTATAATATACGCGGATATTCTTTAAGGTGCAAGAACTTTTCAATAGAATTCCAGTGAGTGATATCTGCTTTTTGTTAATGGATCCTGAATGTGCAACACCAAAAGATTTGATATTGAGAAGGATTCCTGTGCCACCAATTTGTATTAGACCTAGTATTTTATCTGACCTAAAGGCTGGTACAAATGAAGATTATCTGACAATGAAATTATCAGAAATAGCTCTTATCAATGACGTTATTCGCAAGCAAAAAGGTGTTAATATAAATATGTACATGGAGCATTGGGACTTTCTTCAACTGCATTGTGGTCTTTATATTAATAGTGAAATGTCTGGAATACCTATACACATGCAAGTAAGCTGTTCTCAATAAACATCTGTCTGTATATTCTTTTCTCTAACAATTCGCACATTGATACTTTCAGCCTAAAAAGTCTGGTAGAGGTATAGTACAAAGATTGAAAGGAAAACAAGGTCGTTTCCGAGGTAATTTATCTGGCAAACGTGTCGATTTTACTTCTCGCACAGTAATTTCGCCTGATCCAAATCTCAGAATAGAGCAGGTAAGTTTGGTAATATTTAAGTCGGTTAGCTGCGATGCTATCTAATAATATTGAATCTCTACGCAGGTTGGTGTACCTATATATGTTGCAAAAACTTTAACATACCCTGAAAGGGTTACTCCATCAAACATAGAACTAATGCAAAAATTAGTAAGAAATGGTCCAGATATACATCCTGGAGCAAACTACATACAGTATAAGCATTCGCAAAATAGGCGATACCTTAGATATGGCGATCGGAATAAAGTCGCCCGAGACTTACAGGTAATTTAAATACATTGACATGATCTTAAGATGTCAAAATTTTTATATACTTCAATGTATCATTGTTTTTTTTTTTTATAGTTTGGCGACATTGTTGAGAGACATCTCAAAGACGATGACTTAGTGCTATTTAATCGGCAACCATCTTTGCACAAATTAAGTATTATGACACACAGAACCAAGATAATGGAGCATCGAACATTCAGATTCAACGAATGCGTTTGTGCACCTTATAATGCAGGTCTAGTTTAACTTATTGTTTATACACATTGGCTATATATATACACTAATTATTGCGATTAATGTTACACATATCAAAATAATTGAATTGAAAAAGATGCCTGGATCAAGAAGTTTCAGATATTTTTTGCAGTGTTTTAACTGTTTTATTATTAAAATGACGATCAATTTCAAAAATGAAACAAGTACCCAAAAATACATTAAAAACAGAAAAAATTGTTTAAAAAATATTTTACCATAGATTAGTGTTATTAGGTACTAAAATTATTATCGGCCTTGTTTAGTTCTTATTTGATTTAATATACATTAATAGATTTTGACGGCGATGAGATGAATCTTCACTTACCACAGACTGAAGAAGCCAGAGCGGAAGCGTTAGTTTTGTTAGCGGTAAATGGCTAATTAATGTACTTTTATAGAATTATTAAATTACGTATAAATTTGCTAAAATATTTTGTATTGTATTTATAGAATAAATCCAATCTAGTTACACCTCGCAATGGTGACTTATTGATAGCAGCAACTCAAGATTTTATCACCGGTGCTTTTCTTTTAACTCAAAAGGATACGTTTTTCCAGCTAGAACAAGCTAGATTAGCTCTTTGCCTTTTAGCTGGCTCGGACGCTTCTTTAGTCGTAACTCTTCCTCAGCCTGCAATCATGAAACCGGCGAGGTTGTGGACCGGCAAGCAAATATTCAGTCTTATTATACGACCGAATAAGGAATGTCCTGTCAAAGCAAATCTAAAGACACGGGGCAAGGCATATACCAATGGAAAAGAATTATGTATCAATGACTCTTGTAAGTTGTAGTACATTGTAGTACATAATTACATACGTTAACATTTAATAATTAAACATTGTTAAATAATCAAATCCACAGATGTTATTATTCGCAATTCTGAGCTTCTAGCAGGAACAATGGATAAATCTGTATTAGGCTCAGGATCGAAACAAAATATATTTTACGTTCTGCTATGTGATTGGGGTGAAGATGTTGCAACCACAGCTATGTGGCGTTTAACCAGAATAACAAATCATTTCAATTTTGACAGAGGAATTTCTCTTGGTATCGGTGATCTTATACCTAGTCAAAGCCTTCTTCGAGCTAAGGAAAACGTGTTAAATACTCAGTACGAATAAATTCCAAGTTAAATTCGACATATTATAATTAAATGATATAACTAAATAACTAATTTCAATTTTTTTGTTTATTCAGTTATTCCACATGTAATGAATACATTCAGTTAATGGAACAGGGTCGTCTTATCTGTCAGCCTGGATGTTCGGAAGAGGAAACATTGGAAACGAGAATATTGAACGAACTTTCGGTAATCCGTGACAACGTTGGTAAAGTGTGTTTGAAAGAACTACATCCTACTAACGCTGCTTTAACTATGGCACTCTGTGGAAGTAAAGGTAGTTTCATCAATATTTCTCAAATGATCGGTACGTTCAAATAATAATCATAAATATATTACTACTCTAATTGTTCTGATACTATTTAACATAATTGCTCTTTTCAGCTTGCGTAGGTCAGCAAGCTATCAACGGACGTAGGGTACCGAACGGATTCGAGAATCGTGCTTTACCTCATGTCTTGTCACGATCAAAGAAACCGGATGCTAAAGGCTTTGTGGAAAATTCATTTTATTCTGGATTAATATCCAAAGAATTCTTCTTTCATGCCATGGGCGGTCGAGAGGGTCTCACAGATACAGCTGTGAAAACTGCAGAGACTGGATACATGCAGAGACGATTAGTTAAAAGTTTAGAGGATTTGTGTATCCATTATGACATGACGGTACGCAATTCTACGCACGATATTATACAAATTCCATACGGCGGTGATGGATTGGATCCTACGTATATGGAAGGTATGTGACACATTGTTATGCATTTTGTGTAAATAGAATAATATATATTTTTCTACAGGCAAAAACTGTCCCGTGGATTATGAAAGATTGTATGAGCACGTGAGAGCGAAAATGCCTTATGAATCCGAAGAGCCTTTAGATGCCGCTAGCGTGATTAACGCTACAAATGAAATGCTAAGCTCTGAAGAGTATGAATGCTTGAGTGAGCAATTTAAACTCGAACTGATGTAAGACATATGATAAATATATCACATAAGGCAATCTTTTATAGCGCAGCTTTGACAAATTAAACGTTTTTTTTTTGCAGATATTTTTTGAACTCAGTAGCGCGAAAAATAGCGCATTATCGGCAGAACGATAAATTAAACTCGAAAGTGATTTCGCAGCTCGAACGTTTCACCGTGTCGCAATTAGTAGAGTTTATTCACACATGCAAAGAAAAGTACATGAGAGCTAAGATAGAACCGGGCACTGCTGTAGGTGCGCTCGCCGCTCAAAGTATCGGTGAGCCAGGGACACAGATGACTCTCAAAACATTTCACTTTGCTGGTGTAGCTGCTATGAGCATCACGCAGGGTGTTCCTCGTATCAAAGAAATTATTAACGCGAGTCCCAAAATCAGTACTCCCATCATAACAGCAACTTTGGTGAATAATTACTCTGAACACAAGCGTATTCAATGGAATACGATTTTAATCAACTAATTCTTTATCTTACAGGTCAATAATACGGATTCCGAGTTTGCCGAGCAAGTAAAGGCAAGAATGGAGAAGACGACTCTGGGAGATATATCTGAATATATCGAGGAAATATATTTGCCCGATGATCACTTTCTTATAATAAAATTAGATATCGAGAGGATTAAAACGTTAAAATTAGAAATTGATGTTAATTCCATATCCTATACGTAAGCATATTTGAAAGCTTAAGATTTACGTTTTTTTCATAATTGCAATTATTAATTTATTTCAATATATGTATCTCGCAAAAACAAAACTTGACTTCAGTTTTTTCATTTAATATCAAATTTAATGTAACTACAATGAAAAAAAACAGAAGCTTTAGTTGTACTTTAAATTTAAGAGTAATTTTCTGCCATTATATTTTTCGAAAAATAACAAATAATTTATGATTATCTAGACTCTGCACTTCAAAATTGAAGTTAACTTCAAAGAATATAGAAACAGTGACCGACTCAGTTCTTGTTATTCGACCAAATCGGAGTAAAGATAAAGACAGTTCAAATTTTCCATTTCGTAAATTGACAGAGACTATTCCAAATGTTATAGTAAAGGTAAAAATGTTAACGAGATATATCTCTATAAAACGTAAATTTTTAGAAATTTAATGTCCGTTTATTTATCTTTTTTTGTAGGGTCTACCATCGATCAATAGAGTAGTTGTACATAATGAAAACCTCGGTGGTAAATCAAAATTTACATTATTTGTTGAAGGAGATAATTTTAGAGACGTTATGGCAACACGTGGCATCCTCGGTGAGGAGACAAAATCGAATAATACGATAGAAGTAAGTTGAAAGAAATTATAAAATAGTGAATAAAACATTTATAATCATGTTTTATCTTTTTTAACCAAGGTTTTTAAAACGCTCGGGATAGAAGCAGCGAGAACGACTATCATGTCAGAAATTAAGTCAGTAATGGAAAATCACGGAATCAGTATTGATTATCGACATTTAATGCTCTTAGCAGATTTAATGACTAGCACAGGAAAAGTGCTTGGTATCACTAGAGATGGTTTAGCAAAAATGAAAGAATCGATTTTAAACTTGGCGTCGGTAAGATTTTCCATTTTTCATTATTTCATTCTTTTATGTGCTGTTTTATAATATAATATAGAAGTATTATTAAATTGAGCTTATTGTTAGTTGTTCTTCGTTCTCAAATTTGAGTAGTACGAGTATTAAGAAGAATTCCTTTGGCAAACTAATTTTTTTATTTATAGTTTGAGAAAACGGCTGATCATCTATTTGATGCAGCTTACTATGGACAAAAAGATGTTATATGCGGCGTGTCAGAATCAATTATAATGGGTATTCCAGTTCCACTAGGCACAGGAATCTTCAAGCTTCTTCACAAATATCCTTTTCATTATTTTATATATAAAAAGTCAATTGTTTTATTTGTCATAAAAAATATGACACGCATAACTGAATATACTTATACACAGTATAGTCATTATTTTCCTTAATAGTTAAATACGGCAGACAAAGACAAACCATGCGAAAAGGAACTTTTATTTGATAATCCACAATTTCATAAATAACTACTGAATTCTGGAAGACGACGATTTCAACAAATGTGACCACATCCAACATTGCAGAGTTAATATTAATAAAATATTTTACATTTACCGACAAAAAAGTAATTTATTTTGTTAAAAAAAAAACATATCCTTTCGTTTTATTATTAATTCTTATGATCGTATCATTTATGTATAAAGTATTTAATTTATATCTGATTGTATATATAGGTACGTACATAATGTATATAAAAATATTAACTTTTAATAAAGTATTTTATAAAGTGACTTTGTAATATTTTGAATAGATCATGGAATATATTATTTCGTATTTTCTTCAACTATGGAATACATGTCAATAGATTTTTTGTTGCTAGGAGACAGTATTGTTTGATCTGAATCCGTTTCCTGTAATTCCTACCTACATCTTCGCGCGTATATAATTTCATACAACAATCGAATAAAATGTTCAACGTATAATTTGGACTCAGGATTGAAAGCCAGACACATCGGGTATCGGGATGGTGAATGAAAAAGAATTTTGGACGGAAGTTCGGAAAGATTTACCGCGATACAAGAAGAGAAAGCCGCGAGTAGTTCCTGCCTTCACTATTCAGGCGTTACAGGTAACGTTATTACTAAAAGCTATTTCGATCAACACCGATTAACTTTATTTTATTAAGTAATAACAAATAACACTATCAAATTAATTAATAAAATGCTATTAATTGTAATATATATACACAGCGTTAAATTTTGCTATTTTACAAAAGATGATTATGCAGAACATGTAAAAATCTTAAAGCACCGTTTTGATCTTGCAAGGGCACTGATTGATCGAAGGAAATGTCATTTTTTTATTCCTATAAACAAGAAAACAAATTCGTATGAGGGAATTTTCGTTTTTAATTGAAATTAAAGTGAGTAAAATAGTGAAATAAAAACTAATGTTCACACATACATATTATCCATAATAAAAATTTCATGAGATATAATCAAAGACACTCCTCCTTTTAATTCTAAAACAACCTAATGCACTAATGCAGTAGTAATTCAAGAGACGCTACACAGTGTCCGCTGTTTTTTTTTAATTACGAGCTCATTGAGACTCTATCCTATAAAATAAAAAATACATTTTGTACATAATTTGATAAGGAATCCGACGATATTTTTTTCAAATTTTAATAAGTGGTAATTTTTAGTAAAAAAAAATCAATTGACAATTAAATTGTTAATAACAATAAAAATTACTAATGTTTTAATCAAAGTGAGTAACATAAAAGCGTTTAATTTCCCCTTTAAAATCGTTTTTGAATAGTCTTTCTACGATGATTCAAATCGGAGATATTTAACTTCAAAGAAAGCGAGTGCTTATAGTTTCGTACATACTTCCATGTGAAAAAACTTTAATAAAAAAATGTTTTGGTAGGGTGTAAACTCACACATTATTTGAAATGGAGTATAATATCACATAACAAAAATTTCAATCAATTAAAAAAATACGAGATAAAAAAGTGTTTATTTTGCCTCATTTTTTCAAGAATCGCCCATATTGTCCAAATATTGTTTCAAGTAATTTAAGTGATTCTGCCGATCGAGTTAATCGAAGTTTGTGTGAACTTAAAGAATGATATTGAGATGTAGGGTGAAATTTTCACTATAATCGAGATGGATATACACGGTAATATGATGTTTTTGTTCACAGGAAAACACGGTCGTTGCGCAACCTCCGCGATGTGGATTGTATAAACCTCGTCTACCGAAACCATCGACTTTCAAGAAATTTTACAAGCGCGGTGTATTTCCTATCTCTTTGGAAAACAATGGCTACGATCAGAAAATTAATTGGAAAGTGGACATAGAAGATTTAGATTTCCATCATTATTTACCAATGTTCTTCGATGGATTAACGGAAACAGAACAACCATATAAATTTCTGGTAGAGCAAGGAATATCAGATATGCTAGAACGTGGTGGACCAAAGATATTGCCCGTTGTTCCTCAATTGATTATTCCTATTAAGAGTAAGTTCTACAATCCGATTTAATGTAGAAAAAAATATACTGCAATCAAAAAAACTTTGCTAGACGCTTTGAATACAAGAATGCCCGAGATAATCTGCACCACGATGAAAGCACTGCAACGTTTAGTGCAATCGGCCGATTGCGTTGGTGAAGCTTTAGTCCCGTATTTTAGGCAAATCTTGCCTATTCCAAATTTACTCAAAGACAGAAATGGTAATTTACTCATATTTTAATACTTCTTATATTCATATACAATTGGAAATAAAATGTGTAATTTTAGTAAACCTTGGAGAAGGTATCGACTATTCTCAGCAAAGAGGAGAGAACGCAGCTGACATTATACAAGAAACGCTTGAAATCTTAGAAAGATACGGTGGTGAAGATGCTTTCATAAATATTAAATACATGGTTCCCACCTACGAATCCTGTATGATGAATTAATAGAGGCAGAAAATGGTAGTCAATCCTTTCAATAGATTTATTCTTTATTCATAAAAATGTAACTATCACAAAATCAAAGTTTAATATGACAAGTTATACGTAACGAAAGGCATAAATGTAGTAAAAAAGATGTATCACATATATGTTACAAAAATATATACTACATTAAGCATTTGGAATTTGAAATTAATAATATCCCTAGCTGTACACACTGGGGTCCCCGTACACTTTCCAACAAAAATAAACAAATTTTTATTTTCATAAAATAAAATAGTGATTAGTTGGTTTTCTTATACTTTATGCGTTTTTTATAAAAATCTTGATTTAGATCTTAACAGTAAAAACAGTAGTATAGATATTTTTTAATGATACAATTTATTTTGAAAAATATATTTATACCTTTCCTGTATCTTCTTTCAATGTTACAATACGATTAAAAACAAGCTGTAATAAAAAAAAAGAATATTAATGCAATGTACATGTGTACTGATACTTTTTTATTTACCTTATTAGGTTTGGTATCAGGATCAATAGAAAAAAAACCTATACGTTCAAATTGAAACTTGTCATACACTTTTGCTATTTTAGCTAGACTGTTGTCCATGTATGCTACAATTTCTTTTTTGCTGAATGGATTAATATCACTTAAAAATCCATGCGGTACTTCGTGTGTATCTTCTGGATTTTTGTGCTTAAACCTGAAGAGGGGGAGGGGGGCGGGATTAAAAAATATTTTAATTATATTATACAAAATAAAAAATTTTTATAATTGATAATTTGAAAAAATTTTACTCACAAATACTCGTATAATCTAATAGATGCCAATACTGGGTGAGACACCCAATGTATAAATGCTTTTGGTTTATTCTTTTCTGAAACAGGATCTTGTCTAACAATTATATTCGTAATATTACCACTGGCATCTTTCTCGAAACATTCAAAAGTTACTACAGTACCCGTATGCTTTAAGCCTACAGGTTGTTTTGGTGTCAAGCGCCTAAAACCTTTCTCTTCAATCTATAAGCATTGATAAATAAAATAAATGCGAAAAGTTTTTAGAAAAAGGTGGGCATATACATTACACACTTCTTTGAAGTCCGTGGCTTCAATATATAAAATCTCATCAAATGTTATTTCATGATGTCCTTTTTCTGGCTCGTTAGGAAAATTGGGTACAGTGAGCTTTATGTCTTTCTCTTGAAGAAAATTTTTAATAGTCAATTTGATAGGCTCTAGAACCACCATATGTCGGGGAGTAGTAAGATTTAGAACATTTCTAACAGCTGCTTCCAATGCAGAAGGATCAATGGTTGCTTGTGCACCAGTTACACCCATTTGAGCACAAAAATTGTTTATAGCTTCCGGCGGAAATCCACGTCTACGTAGCGCAGACAATGTAAATAATCTATTGACAAAAAAGAAGGTAATGAGAGATTAATATAACATTATTAGATAACATTATCAAGGTAACATTATTTGTTACACTATACCTGGGATCATCCCAGTCAGACACTATTCCTTCTTGGATTAATTTGGCAATTTTTCTTTTGGAAACTACAGTATAATTGACGTTCAATCGGCCATATTCCCACTGTACAGGACAATAAATGTTCAAAGAATTGCAAAGCCAATAATAAGACGACCTCCGTGATTGGAATTCCTTTGTACAGAGAGAATGAGTGATATTTTCGATGCTATCGCACAAGCAATGGGTGTAATCATATGTGGGATAGATGCACCATTTGTCACCAGTTCGATGATGCGGCGAATATTTTATTCTATATGCAACAGGATCTTGCTTGCCTTCCTCTAAAGTCACTTTCATACGCAAAGTCGCTTCTCCTTCTTCCAATAAACCATCCTTCATATCCTATTTTTTAAAAAGTAAAATAAATAAATGTGTATACAATAATAAAAGTTGAAGGGAACAATATGCCCTCACAAATTTTTCATTACATTGAACAGTTGTAAGCTCTCCTCGAATGGTCTATCACGCCAAGGACTCGGTGGAGGATTGAAACCTTTCATTTCTTCACTGGATTGATGACAAACGTAAGCTAAATCTTTCTTTATAAGTTCTATGGCCCAATCATACAGTTGCTGGAAGTAATCCGATGAATGTGTAATCCCAACTGGTTTATAACCGAGCCATTCCACCATCTCCCGTATACCGACAAAAAATTTCTCCTCTTCTTTTTCAGGATTTGTATCATCATATCGTAAATAGCATATGCCATCGTAAGCAGCAGCATACCTATAAGATTCATCTTTTTTACAACATATTTCACTTTTAAAACCAAAGAATATGCATACCCAAAATTGATATTGATAGCCTTTGCATGTCCAATATGCAAAATTCCATTTGGTTCTGGTGGGAATCTTGTTACCACTTTGCCACCAGTTGCTTTCAAATGTTGTTGTAGCAGATAATGTGTATTTGATGTTACAATGTATCCATTGGTTTTGTAATTTTCTCCAGGTTTGTGAAAATGAGTTTTAGTCTTCATGAGTTCGCTTATAGTTTGGGCGTCTCCCTTCTCACTATTCAGCGATTCCTTCTGTTCTAAAAATTTATTAATACCTGTTAAGCTAGAATGTCAACATGAGCATGACCACATAAGAAGGATTTAATGATATTTTTGTGTTAATTTATTGCTCCAATCCCAAATTTGTTGCTCTAGCCATTTGACAAAAAATAATTTTTTTGTTGGTTCTTAATAAAGTTAGAATGCACATTAAAAAGTGCATTAAAGCCTCTGTATGTATATCTCATATAATTGTGCTTGTGTTGACATTCTAGCTTATAATAGATATAATTTATTAATCTATCCTTGAACATACCATAGATTATCTATTACAAAATATTTTTTCAAAAATGGCCATATATAACTCACCTTCCTTTGCATTTTCCAGCTTTTTTGTTTTTGTCTGTTTATCTTTTGGTTTCACTTGTTTAGGTATTGATGCAAGATCAGCATCAACTTTTGGACCTAATAGATCAAGAAGTTGGACATCAAATTCATTCTTTATCGCTTTACCATCTGCCCATTTCAAAATGCTACGTACTTGTTGCATCAATGGACCAGAATTAAAGCGGTACCTATTCAAATAACAAATAAATTGTAATTACTTATTATAAAATAACTTACTATATTATTTACCTCTTTTCCAATATTTCATCTTTGTGTGCTTTTATGATCTTCTCGACTTCCTCTTCTATTTGTTCAGGTAAAACTACTACTCCTATACCACAAGATTCCTCAAATTTAGCTATATCAACAGCATTACTCATGTTAGCCAATAAATAAATCAGTGCTGCATCAATCCTCTGTACACTATCTAATTTCTTCTCAACTATATAATTAATAACAAATGATATTTTATCTATAATCTGATTTTTTATTTTGGAAGCTAGATGGTACAGCAATACACCAGTATCTTGAGTAATAGATCCATGTTTAGCTGCCTACAAGAATAAAATATAATTCTAAATATACAAAAAAGCTAATTTTTATGACATACACCTTACCATTAAATGATAAAAAGTTAAAATCATAATACATGAAATATACAATGAATCATATGCTACATATTAACAAAAGTGATGCAATATTTCTGATAAATTATAATAACATACTTATTATATGCATCTTAGAAATACTTTAATTAATTTTGACAATTATATAATTTTGAGAATAGAGTTCAGCATTTTAAGAAATAGATTTATATTTAGTTGTCTCTACAAAAATATTAATTCTACAAGCTAAAAATATAAATCCTAAATAAGCAAATCTTAATATATATCTTGCCATTATTATTAAGGCCTGGTTTCATCAAATGTAAAATTAACTTCTTGAAATTAGAAGAAGATAAACAGTTGAGCCGAGATTAGAGTTAATTTTGATAAGATAAGTATTGGTCAAATTAAGCCTAGATAAATAAAAGATACAATTCTATAAACAAAGATATTACACAAAGTGTATATCATTGTACATTATATATCAAACAATTAATAATAATGCAATAATTCCAGTAAATCGCAACATAATGGATACATACTTCTTTATGGCCGTTTATCAGTGTAGATTAACTTTAATCTCAGTTCAGCTTAATCTTTATTTTTTTTTAATTTTTAGAAAACTAAAAAAAGGAGTTAATTGAAGAATTAGTTGAACTCTTGAGATTAAAATTAAGATTAAACTACATTGGTAAAAATGGGCATTATAAATTTAATTAATTTTGAAAACACAAAAAGCGCGGTGGCGTTTAACATCCAATTGTTACGATATTGCCGATTTGCCGGCGAGTTTTCACTAACCTCGTTTATAGCCAGCTTAAGATTCTTCGTAATGTTAGTATTTTTTAAAGTTTCCTTGGCCTTCTGCTCACTCAGACCGATCATTTGAAAGAGCTTCACGTCTTCCTCGTTCTTCGCCGACATTTTATTTAGAAAATGCAGCTATTACAAGTTGTAACCACGTACGTCGTGAATCGACCATATGGCTTCTACCAGAAGTTCTTAAATAAAGTTATACTCTTGCGCATTATAACGCCAGACAACCAATGAGAATTGCAGCTGATTGCAGCCAGATACGTCATCATTACGCGGCAAATCTAAATGGTTAAAAAATGGAGTAAATTATGGTAACTATTTTTGCACCCTTTCACTGCACAAGCACTCATTGCAATCAAAATTTTAATTTAAACAATAACTAACTGTTTTCGCGAGAAATTTCCACAATGTCGCGTATAGCCATATTTTAGCCAGCCAAAGTGATCCGAAGTGTAACCGAGATTGCACGAATGTGACGTAGCTGACTATGCGGAAAGACTTTCTATTCGTCCACCGGATGAGCATACTCTTGTATCTACTTGAAATCGTCAGAAATACTTTGGCTGAATCGTGGTGGAAGAAGCAAAGTGTAGCATTCCCAATAATGCGCACTCGTTCAACTTTTGAACCAATCTGCGAATCTTTAACAAAGAAAACAATACCAACTTTGCGTTAATATTGTTTATAATTCGAGGCTAAGCAGAATAAAAGGAACGTGGAACAGAGAACACGAATTTCAACCTATCAGAAACTGTGTATTCCACAGAACACGATTTCTGATAGGTTGAAATTCTTGTTCTCTGTGTTCCCCGTTCTTTTTATTCTGCGTTACATTACTAGACTTATAGAAATCTGTGGTATACATACGTTTATATACAGTTTGTAAATAATGTCGTTTTAAAACGCGATATGGAGGTAATGAGTGTGCAAACAAAAGTTTAGTGAAAAACGAAAATATTTTGGAGATGATATTCAACGACGTCTATCAACTGAATGAGAGGTAGCACCGCAAAGATGACGCCTAAACGGAAGGCAAGTATATTATAGGTTATGGCAATTGAGAAGAACGAACGTCCTACGCATTGTGTGTACTTTATTCGTCGTCACAATAATCTATTTACTTTAAATATATATTAAAAGATTATATAAAATTTAGATATATAAAATTTTTACGATCTCTTATATGTTAATAAGATGTCTCATGTAATATAACATCATTCTGTAGACAACCAGTTCAGAATCAACATCAACAACCAGTTCAGGCTCTTCATCGAGTAGTTCGTCTAGTTCAGGCAGTGAGTCTAGCTCGTCAGACTCAGAGAACTCCAGTAGTTCTGCCAACAGTCAAAAAGCATCTGATACAGACAAAAACAAGAAAAAAGCACCTTTCTCAGCCATCCGTCATGTCAAGCCCAAAGCAGAAACAGCGACTGTACCGCCATTGGAGAATAAAAATAAAGATAGACAACCACCAAAATCCAGGCCGTCGATGTATTCCTCTGAGTCTGAAGAGTCACCCAGCAAAGCAAAATCACCACAGAAGCGGAAACCACCAGCTAAACCAAAAGCTACTGCTACTGTAGCACCAGTTGTTAAGACGCAGAGATCTCCCATAAAGCCTGCGTCTATATCAGGACAGCATAAAGCTGCATCTGTTCCAAAACCTGTCAATGCCAAGCTCAACAAATTTTCTGGTGAATTCATTATTCCAAATTTTGTTATAAATTTTGTCTATTTTATATTCACCATTTGGTATTCATATTTTATATTTAAGATTGTTTTAAGAAGTACAAACGTAAGATATCATAAATCAGTTGTAGAATAAATCAGTTGTGATCAATTCTTAATTAATTAACTTTAGGTCATCAACCTTAAAATATTGAGACACGAAAAAAATATTCGGAACTTCTTTATTGCTATACAAAATGCAGAAAAATATTTAATATTAGATGAAAGTTGTGGTTTAAAGGAATGTAAATTTGTGAAACTAATTTTTGAAATCTATAAGCACATTTTTTGAAGTGAAATTATATGATTTTTTTATACACAATATGATTCTTTTGATTATTCCGCATATAAAAATACTAAGATACATTTATCGAAGAATCAATAGTTTATGAGATATCTCATACCTTCTTATATTAACGTATTTTAACATATATAGTAGAACGTTATCTTGTAAACTATTAATTTTTTAATAATTGTATTTTAATAACTAATATAATATAATGTATTTTAATAGTTGTATGAACAAAGTTATAAGATGAATCAATTGGTGTAAAGAAAGCACATAGTTGCTAAAAAAAATGTAAACAAATTAATTTTTTTAAACAATTAACTACCTCCTGTGTTATTTAAATATACTAACAAATTTTATATTAATTACGTTATGTGATAATCAAGACAATTGGCGTTCCACTTAAGGTTCTTTGGAGAATTGAAAATTGAGGTGTTTTGCACAATTTGGGATAGTTACCACCTTAAAACAGATTATTATCATCTTAAGAGATATTTAAGACGGCTTTAAAATAAAAACTAATTATGTTTACCCACTTATCAATACTGTCTGGAATTTGTAATTTTGAGTTTGAAATTGAAATGTGTTTGATGTCTATCGCTTTTTGTATCTTTTACCTTATTGTTGTTTTCTCATAACGTACAATGCTTTGTCTACACTCACTGCCAAAAAAAAATTTACGAGCCTATATTAGGAGTACTAAATTTTAGCACATAATTTTTAATACTTTTGAATAACAATAATTCAATGAAAAATCATTGTATTAAGATTAGCCAAAACTCGAATTAAAGCTTAAACATACTCCTTATTAGTTATGAAAATCAAATTTATATTACATAAAATATATTTACAAAATGGCGGACATTGAAGACAGATATTGAAAAATAGAAATAATGTTTTTATACTTCAAAAATAAATATGTAATTGATAACTTTTAAGGTTCTACAAGTGTCAATAACAAATCTTCTGAGAAATCTGGGAAAACAACGGAACCTGTCCAGAAGAAATTAAAGAAGAAAAGCATATTCAGTCCAGAAAATAGTAGCGAAAGTGACAGCGGCGTTTCGGCGAAAGTTAGTGCAGTGAAGCCAACAAATAATTCTGCAAAATGTTCCAAAAATCCACCTGCAAAAGTGAAATTGAGTGACACCAAGCAAAAATCCATAACATCAAGCAGACCCGGTAAACTATCTCTATCTTCTAAATTTATTAATGACTGTAAATGTTTTATTTTTTTGAAAATATAACTTATTGTAATTGAACCTTAACATCGTTTTTTAAGTATTATTTTCTCTAGTCGTGAAGCCTGTGCAACCACAGAAGTCAGAAAGTTCCGCAAGTTCTAAGAGTTCTGGTGGTTCGGCATCCTCGGGTAGTTCAGACAGTACTTCTGATTCAGAATCATCCGAAAGTGTTACCAGTTCTCAGCCTCAACCAAAAAAGAAAGAAGTGCAATCTAGTACACTAACGAGTAGTACTGTAACGAGTGTATCGTCTAAGAGACCCTCGGCGGCAGTCGCTCCGGTAAAACCGCAAAAAACAGTTACAAGACGGCAAGGTTTGTTAAATTCCTTACCGCTATACATTGATACATTAAAGAAGAAGAGGACAATATTTTTTTTATACAGGTGCTATAAAGAGCGACAACGATGGAGATGCATCTGCGAGTGAGAAGGATATGGATGAAGCTTCATCTTCTAAAACAATGACGAAAGGCAAGCGGAAACTGCAGACACGCAAAGGAAGTAAATTGCTCCAATTACAAACGAAGGTAGACAGCGATTCCGAATCTGATACAGGTATTGACAAAACATGGTTTTTTATTTTGAAGAAAGTTTTGCACTTGTTTGATTTTATATTTTTGTTATTTATTTATCCTAATTTGTGAGTTCTTTTACCTCTACAATAATTTTCTATAAATTATATTAAATCACATTTGTTTTATTCGGATCTTTAGTTTTACTCATGATAGTCATGATAGTAATATCGCTCATTTGCTAGAATACAAGTAAAAAAAAACGAAGTTTTTTTGGAAAATAAGTTTGAACATTTTGAATCATTAAAATTTTGCAATTTTAATTTTGAAATACAATGTAATAATTGATTGTAAAGGAATAAAAGTATGTGCTTTTAAAGTATATTTTGTGTTTATGTTTTTGTACTTTTTTTGCAAACAAAAAAATCACAATTTTTTAATTATATCGTAATAAATGAGCGATTTAATACTCAGGCAGGAATATGATAGCATGTGAGCATATTTTAAATTGCGTTAATTCTCATGAAATTTGTATTTATTGAAAGTAGCTGAAAGCAAGAGGAGCACGAGTAAATCGCCTGTTAAACGCGTTGGACCGTCTGCTGCCGCCAGACAATCCTCTAGTAGATCTACACAAAATAGCAATACATCTAATACCACAGGTAGTAGAACAAATCAAGCATCTTGTAATCAAGCATCTGCATCGCAACAAGAAGAACGTGAATGTCCGTTGGCTGCGTCCTGCAATTCACGAGGTCATCTCGCTGGAAAACTTGATTCGCACTTTACTTTGGAAGCGTGTCCACTGTATCACAATACCACGCTTCAGGCTTGTGTGTAAGTTACATCTCAAATTTTAATTTGAGATCTATTGATGTGTTAAATTAAATTAAAAACAAGCACTTAATAATAATAACATCAAATGAAAAAATTGACTTTTCCAGAGAATTTTATAAAGAGAGAAAGAAACGAGAAGAAGAACGTAAAAAGGCGATAATAAATCTAACCAAGAAACCCAAAGGTGTTCATCAAACTACCGAGCAGCGCAATTATCAACTCAAAGTAAGAGAAATGAGAAACAAATGGAAAGGCAATACTGGTGATGGTAATGATAGCGATAGCGGCGGTGAATCGCAGGGGAACGAAAAAGATAAACAGCCTCGACTCAACAATCTCACACCTGATTATGACTTGAAACTGTTTATGGAAGCTCAGGCAATAGCCAGTGAAAAAGTCGTAAGTATTCAGTTCATAACAAGCTTAGAAATTTATTTCACAGATTTTTATCAATTTTTATATATTTATTCTGGTAAAAAATAATTCCTATCAAGAGACCTGTAGGTTCCACCACTTCTGTATATTTGTTTGAGAGAATTATGTAGGTGATGACGATAAATTACTTTCGGATTTAAAGCAATCGATAGATATTGAAAAAACAAGTTATGTAAACACACACGCACACAGTGTTTTACATTTTAAAAGATCCCCCAAATCTTCTTTGTTTGCACATTTAGAGACAAATGTTTCAGAAGTTGTGTGATTTGAAGGAAAACATAAAAATGGTTTGACATTGGAAAATTGTTTGAACGTCATCGATTTCTTAAATGAAATGTCTTCTACTTTTGATAACAGATCCTTATAGCTGACATGGAAAACTTAAAATTAAAATGATTTAAAATCAAATTTTTTTTGAAAATGTGAAAAAATACACAGAGATGGAACCTACGATTTTACAATAATATTTTTAGTGTTCTAAAATAATTGCGTAAAGGCGAATTAAAATCTATGAAATCTGAGCCTTTAGTAGTCGATTAATGTGTTATACTTACACAAATAATTGATATTTAGAATTTGAATTGATATTTTTATAAAAATAACGAGATTGAAAATTGACTACTGAGTCAAGCTAAGTTTCCGTGCTAATTATTATAATCTCATTGTTATAAAATTTATTTTGCAACCGTTTTAACTTATAGTAAAGTCATCCTCAGTACATATATACGATAATCAAGTCACAATATTTACAAATAAAAATGAAAAGAAATCCAAGATATGGTAAAAAAAACACACATCAGTTGATGTTTAATAACGTTTTTTAATAATCCTTATATATATGCGTTTTTTATCATATCTTACGTTGTATATATATATTTTATTTTTATTTATAAGTTATTTTGACTCGATTATCATACTGAGGATAACCTTATTACAGGTCAAAATATTTGCGGAATCAATTTTATATGATCATAGGGGCTTTATTCTCGAAAAAATTGCATACGCAAATATTGGGGAAATTTGTAATGTACATAACGTAGTATCCTGTAGTATCTTCATTTAGTCTCACATGCAATATTTTTCGAGAATACAGTCTTTTATCATGACATAATTATTATAACAAAAATTTAATTTGACTTATTAGCCTATTTTTATCTTTTTTTTAATTCTTACTAAATCGTAAAATTTATTCATTATTTTTATTTTGATATTTATTAAATTAAATTTTTAGTTTTCTTGCAAATACATATTTTGTTCTTCTCCTACAAATTAATGCTTACATTTAAAGGAAAAAGAGTCACAAGAATTTGATTACGGAGAAGGTAAAAATGGTGGCACCAGATTCGTCGAAATGGGAAAATGGGAAATGAAAGTTTGGTATCAAAGTCCGTATCCCGAGGAATATAGTCGTGCTCCTAAGCTTTATCTCTGTGAATATTGTCTGAGGTATGCGAAAAGCCGTCAAGTTTTGAGGAGACATCGAGAAAAATGTCTGTGGAAGCATCCACCAGGACATGAAGTATACAGGTAAGTACACAATTTTTTTATACAACATATTTCATATTATAAAATATACATATTTAAAGATAAAATGAAAGTTTTCACAAATATATCTGCAAAGTATTAATAAATCTATATTAAAGGATATTAATAATATAATAATTAAATTTTTTTTTCTTTAATACTTTTTACATATGTTTTTTGGATTTTTTTTAAAGTTATGTGGTATTTACAATTTAGATAGTATAGAGTGATAATCTCTAAATTATCTTGTACCTGATTTATTGTTTTATAGGAAGGACAAGATTGGTGTGTGGGAAGTAGACGGTAAGAGATACAAGCAGTATTGTCAGAATCTCTGCTTGCTGGCCAAATTCTTTCTGGATCATAAAACGTTATACTACGATGTCGAGCCGTTTCTTTTCTACGTTATGACGATTGGTGATTCTGAAGGCTGTCATACCGTCGGATACTTCAGCAAAGTGAGTATCTCGTGATTTGTCATGTCAATCTGTATTTGCTTGGTAAAAATATTTTTTGATCGTACTGCTGTTTTTTTGTCGAATGTCGATATTGTAACTTTAAAAATCGTCGCTGTAACAAATCATTCTCGCGAAACTCTGAAGACCTAGGAATTCTTTATCCGAATTCAATGGAGTTGATGAGTTTCATCGTTTGGTCTACACGATTTTCGGGCTTTCTTTTCGTGATTTAGCTGGATCTCATTCTGTCGCCTTCGTAATGGCATCCACGTTATAGCGTACACGGATTACGCGAACAAGGGTGTGCCTCGTAGAGAAGAGGGTGTCTCGTATCTCTGACCTTTCTTCACTCCCCCCCCCCCCCCCCCCCACACATTCTCGCCACCGCCAAGCTTGGTGTACACGTATACGTTGCCTCAAGGAGTAAGGATGGGGACCATACACGCCTATTTACCGCGGGATACAGCATCGCTGGGAGTCGAAATCTTTACCGACGTTCAACGACCTCTGACCCTGACGTTGGCAAGACGCACCGCCAATCCGCGTCTCCATCCCTGCTCTCAATCCCTTTTTCCTTTCTTTCTCTCTTTCTCTTTCCCTTCATGAGGATGCGGTGAAAATTTTCTTTGGATTTAACTTAAACCTTTTCTGTCGCCTCCCCTTAATTCCTTTGTCTCCTGTTGGGAGACCTCCTATTCTCTGACCGATCCGTCTCAAAACAATCTTTTTCCTATTTCTTTCTTTATTTTATGCAATTTGTAGAATCGTAAAGCAAGATAAAAGAGAGGATTATCCGTCCTACAAATTGTTGATATCTTGATAAATGGACTGTTTTATCAGACTTTCATCATTATCGTTCAATCAATTCGATTGTTTCATTTTATTTATTAATACTTCCTCTGTGTTATATCCTGTGGACTTTTTGACCAACTTTAGAGTCAATATTTTCTTAGTGAGAATGTCGCGGTGCTAGTCGTCCAGTAATTAATCAGTTCCGCAAATTGGTCGAAAAATATGTTGTTAAAGTAGAACACAATCTCGTTATACAGAATTTTTTTAGTTGATTATTCTCCTTTTGACTTGTCATTTCTGAACAAGCAAGTATTTTAGATAAAAGAAATTGTTCCTCTGGTTTTTTAATAGTCGCAAATTCAATAATTAATGAGTGGTAAAAGAATGTCAGCGACAATCGATCAAAAATGTCACTGATAGCACTATATATCTGTAGTCTTTATTGTTATTACCGAGAATGTCAAATTACATTACGTCTTGCGTAAAAGAGGGCGTATTCCGCCATAAAATATTCAGTTGCATTCTCGAAAAGGATCCTCCCTCGTTCAGAATTATATCACGGCATACAAGAGCTCTCTGTAAATCTCATACGAGCCACTGGTATCTCAATTTAAAATAATATTTCAACTTTAAAATGTGTTGATTTCAACGAGGATATAATAACAGTATCTTTAAATAAGTGATGTCGACTTTTCGCCTTTCCATTTTTGCCTTGCAAGTGCCATTCCATTCTCAAACTAATTCGTCACTCTTTGATCAACTTTTGACTATATATCTAATATATCTTAAGTCGGAGCAATGCCTGTATTGTGTATCAATATCTCGAATCCAGGACAGACATGTGTAATTCTGAACACACATTACGCACGCGGATGTGGATTCCTTTATCTGCGAGAATAGACTGACATTGGTTCCCATTTCACAGTATTAATATCTATTAATATCTGCGGATCTCTCAGCGTATCTCCTCTAGTGGCCGACCGACAAATTATGTTATACTCCGTACAAAAGGGCGTAACTCTCTTTCTGCATCCGCAGCGGTGGCGGCGGCGCGAAGTCAAAATCTTTATAGACGTTCAATGACCCCGACCCTGGCCAGACGGTCGTACAGGGTAACGCCGCCGCGCCGGCGGTGGCGGTGATAGTGGTGGTGGTGATGTGGTGGTGGTGGTGGTGGTGGTGGTGGTGGTGGTGGTGGTAGTGGTAGTAGTAGTGATGGTGGTGGTGGTGGTAGTAGTAGTGGCGACGGCCGGGACACGAGAGATGAAGGGTGCGAGGGTGAGAGGGAGGGTGGCCCTGCTGCTGGCGTACGTACGCTATGCATGCGCTTCAGTAGACCAGGTGGAGGGAAACGCGAGTGCAGAGAGGGTGGTCGGGTGGTTTAGGCGGTTGGCCGATAGCGGTGGCCCCAGAGAGGTGGTAGTTGCCGCTGCGGAAGGGGTTGTGCCGACGATTGCGGAGGGTGTCGGCGCAGGAGGGGAAGGAGGGCGTCGCCTGCCGCGTCGGGTCGTCAACCTTTCTGCGGCACTGCGACGTCGTCGGGGTCGTTATTATTTCCTCCTCTTCCCTCTTCTCCTTCTTCTCATCCTCCTCTTGGCCCCAGCGTGTCTTTGCACGCTCTAGTCGTCCCCATCGCTCTTCCCCGTCCTTCCGGTACTACCTCTTCGAGGCGCGTGTTGCTCTCCTTCCATCCTCTTCCTCGTGTGTCTCCCGTCTTTCCATTTGGCTCGTCTTAACACACGTTCCTTCGATGCTACCCTCCATGTTACGATCCTTCGTTCCTTCCATCTCTTTCCATCCGCGTATTCTTTCCTTCGTTCGTTCGCACGGCTTCCGAGGTCGCGAGATCTTGCCTTCGACGATCACTCATGCGTGCCTCTACACACGGTTGCCTCTTTCTCTCCCGCTTTCTTCTTCTTCGGCTAGGTAAGCAGTTCGCGCCGGTATCTTTTATCTTCACATTCTTGTCTTCTTACACATGCTTCTTGTCTTCCTCGATCCATCTCTCTTGTCGCATGCGCGTAACTCTCGCAATAATCATTCACGCAAGCTTGTTCGATTATCTTATCGCATCTTTAGTATGTTTAAAATATTAACGCTAAAAGATAATGTTTATAGTGTATAAACGTAACCGTTTGTGAGTTCATGCGCTATTCGTTGTGAGGAACTTGTTATCAACATCGATCCGACATGAAGATCGGACGTTTGCACTTACAGCTAAACCCGAGGCGGATATCCGAGCTCTTTTACGTCTCTACGTTTCACGATTACACCGGTCGTTGTCGTTGTCTTGTTCTCTTCCTTCACTGATCTTTCTATCACTACACCACTGTCGATCGCGGTGAATGTCGGGTCGATATTGAATTTCTAAGCGTTCGCTTGTCTTTGAGTACTTACAAGGCTCCACCGGTTTCGCTCGCTCGGCTTCAACCTCATTGCCTGCTCGCGTTTCCTCGCGTCGAATTTCATCCCTCTCTTTCGTACTCGCTTTTCCGTTCCTCTTGATCCCTCTCGTTGTCGCCGCGCCGCCCGCGCCGTTGCGTTAAACCGCAATGTCGGCGTCTCACCTTGACGTTGCAGAATTACTTCTATCTTGAGATTTCCGAGAGTAGCGAATAAGTCTAGGAATTTTGCTTAGCTTCCTCTTCGTTTTCTTCTCTCAAATAGTTTCCTTAACTAATAGAAATCCCGAGCAGATCTGCATACCTTGCAGCACTCAGACTTAAATTCACGCTTGACCATAATTGACAAAGGATTAGCCGGGATGGTATCATTCCGTTCACCCTGTGACCTCCGGATTACGAACTGTCCATTTTGTTTCTGATATCTACGGTCGCAGAGAATAATGTTTATACAGATGGCGGAAAAAGAAAACCGTTCTCGAAGATGAATTCAATTTTAACAATCTTATTCTAGGCGGTTGCATTTTTCTTTTTACGAAAAGAAAATCAAAGGATTTTTACGTTTAATGAATGAACGACGTCATTTTATTTTACGTGCTTTAGATCGGACTTTTTTTCCAAGCAAACTAATAAGAATGTATAGAATCAAACAGACAGGCTGTAATTATAATTTACTTGCGCAGGATAGCTATATTAATGACAACATCGTTCAGTCAAACGATTTGAAAGTTTGTAAGTCCGAGTAGGTCCTCACAATCAAGCTTCTTTTGATTTTGTATTCGCGAGGAGTTTTGCGAGGGCACAGAAAGGACAACGTTTCGGATCCTCCAAAGTAGTTTACAATCGTTCGTTGCGAGCTCCGACATCTCCTCCATAAAAGTTGCCCGATTCTCCGCTAACCCTCCTCATCGTAACTTGACCTTTGACTATTCAGACATTGGCATTTTGAACGATGCGGTCGTTGACTTCGAATAATTCGGTCGTTGACCTTGAGTCATCTGTCTGTTGACCTCGCGAGTATCGCGGCCGTCGATCTCGTCCGGAGTTTCGACGTTAAACTTGCACGGTAATCTTCACCTTGAACGGTGCGAATCTGTCCTCTGGAATACTCTTGATTATCAGGGATTCGGGGTAGCGCCGATCTCTGTTGTCGACGACGCATCTCTCGCGTCGCGCATCTCCACTCGCTCTGCGAAGGTGGAATTCTGATCAAGCCCTAGGCAGCCGAGCAAAAATTAAGAGGATCGAATTGAGACGTGAACGTTTACAACTTCCGCCGTGTTTACTGAGACATGAAGACAAGCTGTTCTTCCGTCAAAAGCTCGAAAGCATCTTTCCACGTTTATTTGTACGCAAATAATGTTCTTAACTGTCGTGAGTATAAGAGATAATTGAACCGAATGTCGTTGCTACGAATATCAAGTACATACTTTGAAAATATTTGTAAAATTTACATGTCCTCGATTTTTTTTTATTTTTATTGAGTTATTCAACGTTGATGGAAAAGAGATCATTTTTTATCTCTTTGATCAACAACGTTGAATAACTCGGTGAAAAAAAATCGTACAGTGGTCGAAAAAGAAGCAAATTAAAGGTAAAGGTTTACTCTTTCAAAAGCTGTAATTCGCATTTGTGCATAATTCTTATTCGCGCCGTGTAACTTCACAAATTTTGTAAAAAATTTCAAGATCTGATGCATCTTTATTCATGTTTGTGTAACTTTATGAAATATTAGTAGTACCGTTTTTTAAAGTACCGATCTGAAAAGTAGAGACTTCAAGTTTTAAAATTTTTGACGATATTATT